TCTGAGATCCTTGTCAGGGAGGAATTTCAACACTAATTCACAGATGCTGTGCACTTTAGTGGTGTATTTTGCGTACCCAACTCATGTGCCCTTCATCTTCTCCCTTTTAGCTGTAAGTTTGTGGTAAGTTTTTTATATGACCCCGTCGTTGTTTACTGCACAACTCCAGATAGGCTGTAATGACAAATCACACTGCAAAGTGGAATTGTTGTTGTCTGTCAATGCCAGATATCTGCTATTTATAGACTTTCCTGATAGAATAATTTAAAAGTTATCGTCTCTTTTAAATACACCTAATATGGATGAATTACTGTGATGCATTCAGTATTGAATTCCATGTTTAATGATAAGACAGCTATTTGAGAAAGTTGCTTGAACATTTCTTATTGTCTCATGAAATGAAGTCCTGTTTTCATGAAATAATGGACCCAACTGACCACACGAGTTTGTTTTAGAAGAGTGTCCTGAAGGTATATTTTTCCAAGTGAACTTCCACTTGGTGAATTATTTTAATTTGAGAATTATCAACTTTTAAGTCCTTTTGACAGTGTTGTCATTCCAAGCAGGTCATGTACACCAGCACACAGGAATTGTCTTGTATGTCCTCAGCCAAGACATGTGGCAGGACATTGAACATGTTTAGAAGATGCCTGTGGATTTTATGTCCTGTGTTTCAGCTACTTGCAGATAGAAGGCAGATGAGATGATACTCATTGGTCCTTCCAATTTTGTTAATTATGTGCCTTTATCAGATGACATTTTAGAAACAGCACCACTTTCTTCCTTGTTCCCAAATGGTGCAAGAAAGTTAAAATGAGAATGCTTTTCTATACATTTAGGGCCAATGAATTTTACAGTTAGAAGAGACCTCTGCATTCTTGTTGAACTTCCTACATAACATGGGAATCCCATCTGGAATCGATGGTTCACCAATCTCTGATTCAGACTATTCACTGACATAAAGTTCAGTGCTAATAAAACAACCTTCTTCAAGGAGATGATTCCAATAGTTATGGAGTTATTTCTTGGACTAAAATAAAATAATCTCCCAATATTTTGACTGTGAGTTCTGGTTCTTCCTTTGAAGCAGTGTAAAACCTTCATACTTTTGCTTCTAAAACCTTGAAAATATTAACTTCTCAGAAAATTTGAATGGGGAACTGACAGATGGAAACTGAATTATGAATTTTTCTGAGATTCATGTTTTAGTGAACTTCAGATAGATTCTAGACTGAAGAAGGACGTAGACTCAGACAGACAGGAAAATAAAAGCAATGGTTTAGTAGTTACAAGTCAAACCTCAGAAAACTCACTCTTCAGTAGTAGTACTTTAAAAAAGTTGATAAGCCACAAAATGTAAAGATTCATGATAAATAATGTCTTTATATTACAATTAAGGTATAAAATATGTTGACAGTTCTAGGAATATGAGTATATAGTTAGAGCTTTAGCTCTAGCCTTGGATATTGGTCAGGATGTTTTTCAATCCCAGGCTATGACCCATCAAGAAATCATTGAACCAGCATTTTTCTGGTGAAATGGAGCAGATAATCATATAAAATACCAAGTCCCTTGCACATTTGCACATGATAAGGATTCAAGTGCATGTGCGTATATATAATTCTATATCTAAAATATACAATATGCACATACATGCAGCTATAGAATATAAATGTTCACGCAGAGGATAAGAGATGACAGGTGACATCCGATCAGAGTGGACCATCGATGGGCACACAAGTCAAAAGACAAAGTTCTTTCTTCTAAATCCCGCTAAAGGTGTGGCAATAAAAATGACAAGGCTAACAAGAAATTCATATAATGAAGGCACAAATTGGTGAGATCCCCTGAAAGGGGGGTGTCTGACATGCTCCTCGTCCACCTTCCCATCCTCACGTGTGGATACAGATGCAGGTGCACAGTCACATTCCCACCTGTGGCCTGTGTGCACTGAGGCAGGAGCACACATGGGCGAACCTCGGGTGCGATCCCAGTGCCGGGGCAAGGGCTCCGTGCTGTGAACGCAGTTGGAGTAGTAACAGATTTTGAACTGTGGTGAACATTGGGGAATAAAGGTAAGATTTTCTAACTACTGTAAGAGGATACTAGGGTTCAGTTGATTACAGTGGAAAAATCAATGTCCTTTCGTGTCATTTGCAGTATTCACTTAGTAAGTGACTGACAGGGCAAATATCACTGAGGATGTTTTCTGAGGAAAGAAACAAAGGCACACAGATCCACCAGGTCACACCCTTCCCTCAGGCGTTCAGACGTGGTGCTCCCTTGTCTCTTCCCAGGGCCATGGGGGACAATCAGACTTCAGTTACAGAGTTCCTCCTGCTGGGATTTCCCGTCAGCCCAAGGGTTCAGATGCTCCTCTTTGGGCTCTTCTCCCTGTTCTATGCCTTCACCATGCTGGGCAACGGGGCCATCCTGGGGCTCATCAGGCTGGACTCCCGGCTGCACACCCCCATGTACTTCTTCCTCTCACACCTGGCCATCGTTGACATATCCTACGCCTGCAACACGGTGCCCCAGATGCTGGTAAACCTCCTGAGTCCAGCCAAGACTGTCTCCTTTGCTGGCTGCGTGACCCAGACCTTTCTCTTCTTGACTTTTGCTCTGACAGAATGTCTTCTCCTGGTGGTGATGTCCTATGATCGGTATGTGGCCATCTGCCACCCCCTCTGGTATTCTGTCATCATGAGCTGGAGAGTCTGCACCACCCTGGCAGTGGCTTCGTGGACTCTAGGAGTCCTCCTGGCCCTAGTGCACATAATGTTACTCTTACCATTGCCCTTCTGTGGACCCCAGAAAGTGAATCACTTTTTCTGTGAAATTATAGCTGTTCTCAAACTTGCCTGTGCAGATACCCACATTAATGAGATTATGCTTTTGGCTGCATCAATGTTTGTGCTGGTGGGACCGTTGTCCTCCATTGTGATTTCCTACATGTATATTCTACGTGCCATCCTAAAGATCCAGTCAGGGGAAGGGCGTCAGAAAGCCTTCTCCACCTGCTCATCCCACCTCTGCATGGTTGGGCTCTTCTATGGCACAGCCATGATTATGTATGTTGGGCCCCCACATGGGGACCCCAAGGAGCAGAAGAAATATCTCCTCCTGTTTCACAGCCTTTTCAACCCCATGCTTAATCCGCTCATCTATAGTCTGAGGAACAGAGAAGTCAAAGCTGCTTTGAAGAGGATGCTTGAAAAAGGAGAGAACTTCATGAAAGCCTTATAGGGTCACAACCTAAGCAGGTTTAAAGGGACCCGAGAAGTCATCTCATGCTGTGTCTGTTCAGATACACAGACATGCTCTGGGAATTCCTCTTCATCTTCTGGGAATTGTCCTGTGAGTACTTCCCAAGAAAGCCTATTCTGTTTTCCTCCCTCCGCAGTGCTGCATAAGCAAGGGAAGACCTCGTGCATCTCTGCATGGCACACACACTTTAAATATGGTTATGTGAGATGTTCGGAACAAGAGGAATTACCTGAGTGTATTCCATAATCAGGACTTGGGGACGAAATGTCGTAGAATAAAACAAAATTTTGGCAGATTATTGAGAGTATAGGAGTTGAGAGTGATTTGTTACATGGTGGTTATATTTTAAGTTTAGCAGATGTCATCTTCAAAAATAGGTCTACATTTTAAATATTTGATTATTGCCCGACATATTTCAATGATAATTAGTGATGTTTTTCTAAAGCATTATCAACTGAAACTAGAAAGAGCATGAACCATGACTTCAAGGGAAAGAGAATTAAGGATGTAACTGTGATAGAACTAACAAGAAGAAATCCCCAAAGGATGTCATGCTAAAAACATACAGACTTCTTGAAGTTTCCTCTGTTACTGTTTTTCTCGGCTTCTGGAGTGTAGGTGGAGATCCATGGGTGGAGGACATGAGAGAGCTGAATGGAAGTAGTTGAGGGTCCTTGCAAGAATTATACATTTTCTCTCATTGGTTTGGTCAATTGTGTCAATTGGGAAATGAGCAAAACTTACACAGGACATTCTGGCAAATAAGATTAGTGTGTAATTGTTGTGATGACTAGTTGACCAATGACACTAAATCCATAAATGATCAGAAATGATTTGCTTTTGAAATGAAGAGAGTTGAGGTAAGTTAATTAGCTATTTTAATCAACCTTGAAACTCGAATACTGAAGTTTGAAGTGCTAGAACACACTTATGAAGTAGTGGATCAGGATATATAAAGAGACTTTTACTTTTTCAACTCTTTTTCAAATTATGTGCTAAAATAAACCTTCTGAATACTTACACTGTATCAAAGGGAACGATTTAACGTTAAAGTAATGTGTTGTTTTGTAAAAAGTATTTTAAAAGAGAAACATATATGGATTTCTTTTTAATAAAGCTTTCCATATTGTAAAGAAGTCTGTTATGTGGACACCATGACCAAAAAAAGGTTATAACTCATGGTTTTGAATTCAGATGAAGCTGGGTTTTACAAAGTTCGGCCAGTTGCTAGATGTACAGACTTCTACAATATACATGAATTCTTAGGAACTTAAAAATAAATTCACTAATGCTAGGCTCAGGGGTTTGTTGTAAACCGGAAGTACTCTGTCCAAATGCTTAGCAGAATCCATGAGTTAGTGTAAGAGCTCAATAAATGGTAATTATTAAAATTGTCTTCTACATACATTTATTATTTTTGAAGAACAATGATTGTGACTTATAAATGAGACAATGTAAATTGAGATTTCCTATTATGCTAGACAAAGCAGGAATATTACAAAATATATCTTTTTATGTGATACAAAATGCCAAGAATTCAAGTAATTTACGAAGTAAATGATTCATAGAGTCTTTCCTTTGCAATGTCAACTCTCTGAAGAACTAATATTTAAATGTACATGGATAAATACAATTCAAAATTGCAAAAATATATATATATATGTACATGTTCACACAGAAAATGTGCCTTCTTTTTATTTTCTCTTTTTCACTTATTACTAGGTTTGTGAGATTCAGGTTGTTACCTGTGGCTCTATTTCATTAATTTTAATTGCTTCCTAGCATTACATTGTATAAACCGATAACAATTTATCACATTTCTGGTAGTATATTTCATTGTCTACAATTTTGGCTACAATAAAAAATTAGTCCTTGAATGTTATTATACGTGTGTTTTGATGAACCGAAGCAATCATTTCTGTTGGACATGTACTCAGGGATGTTCTGGGTTGTGAAGTCCCTAGACATAGATTTGCTTTGACTTCAACTCTGCTAGGCTGTGAATATCATTATTGTTAACTTTTACTCATCACTTACAATGTTCCTTACACTGAACTAGATATTGGTAGGACAATGATGAAGCAAATATAGTTGACCCTTGAAAAACAGGGGTTCGAACCTCATGGGTCCACTTTTACACAGATGTGTTTTTCAGTAAATATTGTAAATGTATTTTCTCTTCCTTCTGACTTTCTTAACTTTTTCTCTTCCTTTATTGTAAGAGTACAGTATATAATATGTATAATTTACAATATTCGTGTTAATTGACGATGTTATTAGCAAGCTTTATTGGTCAACATTAGTCTATTAGTAATTAAGTATTTAGGAAGTCAAATTATACATCTGGTTTTGAATGCATGGGGGATGCATTTACATTGTCAACTGTATATGAATTTCTACCTGGACGGGTGTATAGTCTCATTAGAGAGATTGGCATGACTCTGACAATTGTATACATGACTATATTACTGGGTCACAGGTGTTTTTTCTAAACAGTTGAACCAGGAACAAGGAACTTATTTATTCTTTTATAATTAGCTCAGTATTTTTTAAAAATTATTTTTCTTTATTGATTCTAGAGAGAGAAGAAGGGAAAGGGAGAGAGAGATAGAAACACCAATGAGAGAGACCATCAACTGGCCACCTCCTGCATGCCCCCTCTGGAGACTGGGCCCACAACCTGGGCATGTGCCCTGACCAGGAATTGAACCGGCGAACTTCTGGTGCATGTGTCAATGCTTAACCACTGAGCCACATGGTCCAGACCAGCTCAATATTTTTAATTAGCAGCTAAGAGGTTCGGGGAGTGGGAAAATGCAGCTCTCTATGGGTGTCAGGGCTCCATGAATTTCTAAACGTTTCTTTGAAGCTCTCTGTCCTGCCTGGTTTGAAGAGCCACTTCCTCGTGGCCTCTCAGTGGTCCACGTGGCAGTCTCTCCTGGGAGACCTGCTGCTTCCTTGGTGAGGCCTGACTGTTAGCTGCTGAGATTTGGCCTCTCTGGAAATATTCCAGGACCTGTCCTGTCTTTAGTCCTGGAGCATGGGGCTGTGGGAAGTATGTTCTCTTATGATATCGAGTCAGCATCAATTATACTTCCTTGGTGTCTCATCCACGTCTTACCCTTGGTTGGTGCTATGACCCTCTCTGACACATGGCTGTGTGTTCTCTCTTGATCTTGGGCCTGGTTGAGCACCCTGGAGCCCTCAGGTCCCAGGCTATTTCCATGGCAGCATGGTGATTGCCTGGGAAAGATGTAGCCCTTTCGTCCAATACATGCATCCATCATCTGGGACATGTGCAATCCTCAGAACTTTTTCCAGAAAATAGGGCGGCAGCCTGGAGCCAGGAGAGCTGCCCCAGGCTTGTCTAACAGCTCAGTTCTTCAGCGCTCACCTCTCCTGCGCCCCCTGCTGCCGTGTTTTATGCAGTTGCCCTGCACCCTGGTCTCCACCCAGAGGCACCAATGGGGAGTGTGGAGAAATACCTGTGTGCTTTCAGGTTCATTCTCATCAGCTCTAACAAGCCCCTATCTGTCTTTCAAACCACAATGGGAAGCCAGGGTATTCATGCACCTGACCACTTACCTTTCTTCCCTGTCTGCCTTTTCCCTATGCCTTATTGGGACCAGAGACATCTGTCTCTATATTTATCCAGAAATCTCTGGGATGTTGAGCCATTCATCATAACAGTTATCACAGGGTGCTGTGATCAGCAGTGACAGCGAGTTTGACAAGGAATTTCTTTTTTTTTTTTAATTTTAAAATTTTATTTATTTATTTATTTATTTCGGTATATTTATTTTTAAAATTGTATTTTTGTTACAGATGTTTCTCCTTTTTTACCCTGTTGACACCCTCTTCCCTATCCCCCACACCCCATCTTCAGCGTTGTTTTCCACATCCATTGGTTATGCATACATGCATATAAGTTCTGTGGTTTTTCTCTTTCCTCCCCGTACCACACCCTCTTCTGTCGGTTGTCAGTCTGTACCCTATTACACGTCTGGGTCTGCCCTATTCCTCACACTGTTATGTTCATTATATTCCACAAATAAGTGAGATTAGGTGGTACTTGTCTTTTTCTGCTTGGCTTGTTTCACTTAGGATAATACTTTCCAGGTCTCTCCATGTCGTCTCAAAGGATAAGAGAGCTTCTTTCTTACAGCTGCATAGTAATCCATTGTGTATATGTACCACAACTTGTTATCCACTTGTCTACTGATGGATACTAGGGATGTTTCCAGATCTTAGCTATTGTAAATAGTGCTGCTATGAATATGAGGGTACATATATTATTTCTGATTGGTGTTACAGGCTTCTTAGGGTATATTCCTAGAAGTGGGATCACTGGGTCAAATGGCAGTTCCATTTTTAATTTGTGAGCTAACAGCATATTGTTTTCCAAAGTGTCTGCACCAGTCTGCACTCCCACCAGCAGTGTACTAGAGTCCCCTTTTCTCCACAGCCTCACCAACACTGATTTGATGATCTGTTGATGGTGGCCATTCTGACAGGTGTGAGGTGATACCTCATTGTTGTTTTAATTTGCATCTCTCTGATGATTAGTGATGTTGAGCATTTCTTCATATGTCTCTTGGCCATTTGTATGTCCTGTTTGGAGAGGTGTCTATTCAGCTCCTCTGTCCATTTTTTAATTGGGTTCTTTGTCTTCCTTTTGTTGAGTTGTATGAGCACGCAATATATTTTGGAAATTAACCCCTTATCTGATATATCATTGGCAATGATGATCTCCCATACAGTAGGTTGCCTTTCCATTTTGATGGTTGTTTCTTTTGATGTGCAGAAGCTTTTTAGTTTGATGTAATCCAACGTGTTCATTTTTTCCTTTGTTTCTGTTTCATTGACAATTCTGCTGCGTATGATGTCTGAAATTTTGTTGCCTACATTTACTGCCAAGATTTCTATGGATTCACCGGTCACATTTAAGTCTTTCATCCATTTTGAGTTTATTTTTGCGT